TTGTCAGAATGCAACTTAATATGTGCATATGGTAGACGATATATTTCACACAAAACTCTAACCACAGTTGATAAAAAGTATTGCAAATTATGTAAGAACTTTAAAGAGCATGATGATTTTTAGTCATTGAAAGGGGTGTTTTCAACCACATAAAGATTGTTTCATTTGATAAGGGCAGGGTTAGAGGGAAATGGACTTGGTGATCTTCCTAGACACTTCCATCAACTATTATGTGATATAGTGCAGCCACTGAAACATAAGAACAGAATTTTCAAGAAAAATATGATCCCCTGGGGCCCTCCCTAGTGGCGCAATGGGTTAGGATGCAGCACTACAAGCTAGCTTTAGCTGCTTCGGTGCAGTGATCCACATGGCTCAGCAGACCTCTCCTGACTGCCTGCTGCTCCCCTCAGCCATGTATCAATCTGCCTGTTCTGCTCCCCACTCTGTCTCTGGTGAATCCTCTCACTGCCCTCGCACCTCTGGCTTATACCCCAATTCTGTATGCATAAATAAATAAATCTTAAAAAGAAAAATATGATCCTATGCATTATGATGTTATATAAATAAATAGCCCAGAAATTAGTATACTCCATTTTTTATTTACCTTGATAAGTAATTTACTGATTTTCATATTATAAAATATTTTAAAATTAGACCATACATAACACAGTTAATAATCTCCAGAAGCTGACATTACAAGATGTCAAAAAAGGAATGTTTTGCTAAAACTAATAAATGTATCACCCATATGAACAATGACAATTATATTTATAGAATAAAATAACAAAGGTTGAAAATATTTTATTTTAGCTTTGCACTAGATGGTGAGATTTCATGAAGCTCATCTACTGATAATAAATGCTATCCTAAGCACTTCATATTACTCCTGAAATAACTCTATTACAGAGGTTCTTTGACTAAAAAGGAGTGAGCAACCTGCTCAAGGTTGCTCAGCAAGCAAAGACCTGAATTTGATTTGAGGGATCCGTTTCAGAGGCCCTAACCTAATTCTGACCACTGGTTTCCCATTTCCCTTCCTCATTTCCTTACTTGTAGGCAAAACTAGGAGTTTATTCTAGTGACTGTGGGAGAAGATTTCTGAAGTCTGTCTGGCAGATTAAGGAAAATTATTTTGAGTTTTAAATGTGAAATAAACAAAGTTGGCAGTTCTGGGAAAAGAGGCATAACTATGGGGCTCAATAATTCCAAAAGCTATCTGATGACTCAGAATGAGAGTTATAAAACTTCCTTGTCCTTTGATTCAGTAATTTTAGTCTTTGGAATATACATGAAGGAAACAGCACAAAAATAAAAAGCAATTTGTCCTGGATGTTCATGCAGGGGCTATCTGTAATAACAAAAAGGAGGATACCGAATTTCTAGTAATAGGTCAATGGTTAAGCAAACCAGGCTATGTAGAAAAAGAAAATGAAGAAAGCCTTGTAATTCCTAAAAAAGACAATACTTGACAGCTATGTAAGAAAGAATTATGTTAAACTGTCAAATACAAATCTATAGAAGCATAATCTCATAAAACAGCATGTGTATGAATAATAGCCAAGAGAATTTTGAATGTATAAGGAAGTATACCACTCCCTTCCCTCCCCCCCATTTGACTGGTGAAAGTCCTCCTATAGCTTTGTGAGATGAGTACTGGTATCATGTCTCTTCTAAGAAATCAGAGCACAGAGAAGCCTAAGAACATTGGCCTGCATTTACACAGGCCATGGCAGAGGCGAGGTTTCAAATCAGGTAGACTCTCTATAAGCCTATGGAAGAAGTATCTAAATCTTGTTCTTTCCCATTAAGCATTTCTAGATCTTGTTTTCTGCCTTCTTCTTCAACACTTCTGTTTGGTTTATAATATACAGAATCCTTGAAGGAAAGAACAGTAACCAAATATAGAAGTTACAATAAAATACTCTTCATCCAGTACCACCTGCATAAACACAATCTACCTGCTCTAACAGGTAAGGCATCTTCCCAAGAATTAAGACTACAGCAGGGCTTATAAATCAGATGAGAGAATTGTAGATGCTGAAAAGTAAAATGATACAGGGACTACAGGAGAAAAATGTAACATCTGGAATAAAGAAATACTCAAATGAGGTTGAATCTAAGATAAAGTTGCAGGGGACAAGTAACAAATATAAAAGAACATTAAAAAATTCTTTGGAAATAGACTATGATGGAGGACTGTGGGTGCCATGGTGCTTGGTGTGGTATGATAACATACATCTGAAGAGATGATCTTATACCTGTGAACCATACACAGTGTTGTAAACCACTTTAACTTCCAAAAAAAATAAAGTGAAATCTAAAACTGAAATAATTTTTTTTCAAATATAAGGGGTGGAGAACAATATTGTTACTGCCACCATCAATGTAACTACTGTGTTATATTTTTTCAAAAATATAAAATAATTTTAAAAATAAAAAAATGTATGCTTTATGCTTGCTTAGTTTCTTATATACTGCCAAGTATTTTTAAAATAAATAGTATGTTCATTTTTACATCATTTTGTGCATTTTTCCATCTCAGTTGTAATCCCCATGGGTTTGCATCACCAAATCACCCATGCGCCATCATCATAGTCCAGTGCATTTCCCTCCCCCCACTGTTTACCTCCCCCCACTGTTTACTGCCAAGTATTTTTATGTTTTTTTTAAAAAGGTTTTTTTTTTTAAGATTTATTTATGCATACAGAACTGGGGTATAGGCCAGAGGTGCAGAGGCAGTGAGAGGATCCACCAGAGACAGAGTGGGGAGCAAAACAGGCAGATTGACGAAATACACTGCTGAAGGGAACAGCCAGCAGGTCAGGAGAGCTCTGCCGAGCCATGCGGTCACCTCCTGGGGCTGGGGATCAAACTCATGCTGAAGTGGCTTTAGCTTCCTAGTGCTGCGCTTTAACCCGCTGCACCACCAGGGAGGGCCTTTATGATCTTTTCTAACACTCATGTTACAGAATGGTGAATAGTAGAGTGGACATATAAGGAAACAGTCAAAGATTCGAGAGCTTAGATAAAGCAGACTGCTTATTCTTAGCTAAGCTGGAACTCGGCTCCAAGGACTCATTTTCATCAGTTAACTCTGATGCTGCTCAAAGCAAGGATGAACTCCTGTGCAGCCTGCCATCTAAGGCCGTCAGAGCTCACGAAGACCTAGCTCATAACTCTACAGCAAAAATTTAGAAAATAAATCTAAAAACTGGAGTCAAAGATGAGAATTACACCTACAAATCCCTTTAAATGGAGGCAGGCCCTCCCTGGTGCGCAGTGGGTTAAAGCACTGCACTGAGAAGCTAAAGCCTCATGAATTCAATTCCCGCCTGCCCCGGAGGTGACCACATGGCTCAGCAGACCTCTCCTGACCGGCCCCACTGCTCCCCTCAGCAGTGTACTTCGTCGATCTGCCTGTTCTGCTCCCCACTCTGTCTCTGTTGTGAAGCCTTTCACTGCCCCTGAGCCTCTGGCCTGTACCCCAGTTCTCTATGTACAAATAAATAAATTTTAAAAATAATAATAAATAAATAAATGAAGGAGGCAGAGGGAGAGCAATACCCCCACCTGCGTAGAACTAAACCAGGGGGTGTAGGCATGTAGTTGTAATGTCTGCAAAGGCAAAGCAAATCCTTCTATATAAATCTTTACTCTTCCAGGATTGTGTCCTCGATGATACAAAATGTAAAAGTGAAATTTTGCTTTATCTGTACATTCCATAGAAATACTTTCATAGCGAGTGAACATATATATTTAATAAATGTTCATAAATGTCTTCACCTTCTCTCCCAGCTCTGTCTGAAGGGCCCTATGCTTTTTTAGCAGTCAGATCGAGCGCCACCTTTCTGAGAATCCTCTTTTGATTCTCCAACCTCCCTTTCCTAAGTATTTACAGAGTGTTCTAGAACAGCTTGTTGCTGATCTTGTCTATTGCCTTGTGCAGCTCCAAGATGGCATAACACACTTGGGATTTACCTTTGAGCTTCCTATGGCCCCTACACAAGTGCCTCACACATCACAATTGTTTAGTGAGTTGGTAAGAAATTGCCTAAAGTACCATCATGCTCTAAGAGCTTATAAACCTTTTCTGAGATTTGAGCTGATCAAATTCTGCAATAGAAAAAAACCTCAATAAAAGATGGTTTAACAATCTTGTTTCCTTAATATCATATTTTATGCTGACCTTTCATGTTAGAACATTTGCATTAATTTAATGCATTAATAATTAGAACTGTAAAATAGCAACCTTACATTCAGAAGGTTAAATTGGAAAGTTTTTTAATCAAGTAGGATTATAGCACTCACCAAACTTGAATAAACTAACTTGAGATTTACATTAACCACAGTTTTATAAATATTCCACAAGATTCTATTCAATATGAAGGTAAGGGTTTCCAAGCTAGAATTCCAGCTCTTTCAAGAGTCCAGCTGGTTAATAACCTAGTGGTGAAAGAACTTAAAATTTCACAGCAAAGTAGTATCACTTCTACCAAGGTCAACTGCTCTCCAGGGACAAAAATAATGTTCTTTTTATTAGTCATTTGAAATTAACCATTAAATAACATTCATTTTATTGTGATTTTTATATAAGAACTGAGAAAACAATTCTTTGTAGCAATTATGAAAATACAAGAAAAACTGCTGAGTTCTGAAGCACTGTAATCTTCCAGGCTCTTCTATCTTCCCCGGGGCAATGTGTGGTAATATGAGCTTCAATTAAAAAGCTTACTTATAAAGAAATAAAGACCAGGGAATAAAGAAGAATACTACTGAGGCTTGCAATGAAAAGCAGCATTAAAAGAAAAAGATGAAGTAATTATTTTCCGTTATACCACACTATGAAATATCAAAAAACTCCCATTATATTCTGTATATCAAAAAAGCTCTTTGACCCATGATTGGGCTAATCCAACAGCTATTCACACAATTCCAGGGAGAATAGCAATCAGGGACCATTGAGGAAAATACAAGTCACAAAAGGCATGAAATCTTACTTTTTCATCATCTTCAGAAAATGGAGCACCTTCAGGAATCTTATTTATCGCTTGGGCCACACCAATAATCTCACCATCACTGCTCCGAATCGGCATACACAGTAGTGATTTTGTCTTGTATCCAGTCAGCTTGTCGATTTCATCATTGAACCTTCGATCCTAAAAATGAGACAAAAAGGACAGTATGTTGTCAGGGAGAAGGAACAAGAAGTGTATTTCTATGTAGGATCCTCTCTCATTGGGAAATACACCCCACTGACTTTTAATGATTTGATTGCATATTGAATTCACCAAAGAGACCTAAGTGACAATAAATCACCACCACAGTTGTTAACCATATTAATGGAGAGACTATAAACTGTATTGTATGACTACTACAACATATCAAGTACTTTTAAAGAAACCAAACACTGCAACTGGCCAGTCACTCTAAAATTCCATGAAAGACACTCTAAAAACCTTTGTCAGGGAGGTGAAAATCCTGGAGGAGAGAAGGATGCAAAATCTAAACAAAACCAAATCTCCAGCTCAAAATACGTCTATAGTGTTTCAGAAAAACACTAATTTGTATTCATTCTTTAAAACCTCACTGAAGAACCATTATGTCTCAGGCTGTGAGGCAAAGAGAAACAACAGGAAGCAAAGATGCATCATCCTAGTCCTCAAAGAACGTGCAATTCAGCAGGTGAGGCAGATGAGATATGATACGATGAGATGTGAATGTATGTGTAATTATAGACTGTGGGAATGCTAAGGAAAAGATAAAAGTGCTGTGAGCAAGATGTTATAGAGAGGACGAATTTTGAGGGGATCAAGGCAAATCTCCAAGAACAGGACAAATAAGCTGAAACTTGTATTATGAGTAAGAATTTGCCAAAGAATGGAAGGAAGAACTTTCCAGAAAGTGAAAACTGCATGTGAAAGTCTTGAAACAGGATAAAGTGTAAATTCCTAAATCCCCAGGGTCAATGTGGCACAGGCAGTGGGAATCAAAGGAACAGGAGAGGGGGCAGGGTCAGGTTTGGGAAAGTTCTACAATCCTAAATGCAGTGGGAGATCACTGAAGATCTTAAAGCAGAAGGATGATATGATTCATTACCCAGTACATACCATTCTCTGAAATCATCCTGTTAAATTACTTTAGTAACCAAGATTTAGTATAGAAAATCAAAGACGGCAGAAATTTTGTCTTTTGTTTATGACTTCATACTGGCATATTACAGGTGTACCCGAATATTTTTTTTTTGAGCAACAGTGCTTTTTTAAAATACCGTATTACAATTAAAGACACTTATTACACTACATATGAACAGGAGATACAAAAATGTTCACTGCAACATCAATCATGAAAAGAAAAAAATTGAAAACATTTGAATAATGGACAATAGGAAGATGAGCCAATTACGATCTTCTGACAGCACACTATAGCGCATTCCCCCCATTATCTACAGAAGAGATGCCTCAAGATCCCCATAGCAGGATACCTGAGACCAGGAGAGCACCAAGCCCTATGTATACACACACACATATACATATATATACATATGTGTCTATATACATATGCATATATTGTGTGTATACGTGTGTGTTATACATACGTATACCTTAATTTATAAATTAGGCACAGTAATATAACAATATAATGTGAGCAGCAATCTACAATAGCTGAAGGTTAGAAAAAAAAATCCCAAGGAAAGTGAAATGTTTAAGTTGATGCCCAAAGGATTGGTGTCCCAGAAAAGGGAAAGATATTGAAAGCCCAGAAATAACAGAACGCTGGTGAATATGAAGAACTGAACAAGATGAAGAAGGAGCTCAAGGGCAGAGACAGGAAAAGTGGGTAAAGATGGATGAAGGGGCACCTAGTAGCCAGGTTTAAAACTGCAAATTCGGGCCCTCCCTGGTGGTGCAGCGGGTTAAAGCACAGCACTAAGAAGCTTAAGCCACTTCAGCATGAGTTTGATCCCCGCCTGCCCAGAGGAGATCCACACGGCGTGGCAGACCTGACCTGCCCACTGCTCCTCTCAGCAGTGTACTTCGTTGATCTGCCTGTTCTGCTCCTCACTCTGTCTCTGGTGAATCCTCTCACCCTCCACATCTCTGGCCTGTACCCTAGTT